GCTCCAGAATGAGCGACAGTCTTCTATCGAGCCCCTCCATCGGTGGCTGATAGCGATGTGATATATTTGGGTCCAAATCTGGGACGAATTAGGGGGTCTCCATGTTAAAAGATGTTTTTCCTTATGCTTAAAGTTGATATTTACAAGAAAGAGGCGGTTATCCGAGCATAGCTGCAACAGACGGTCGCCATTATCTGTTCTTTGAGCCATGATGCTATAAGATCCACCTAGGTGTCTTTCCCTATCGCTTAGTTTACCTACTTTGAGCATTAAAGTCACCGGCCATTATTACTACATCTGAGCGCCTAGCTTTTCGGAGAAGGTCGGAGAGCTTTCTGTAGAACTCATCTTTTACATCATCTGCGCTGCAGTCAATGGAAGAATAGGCAGAGACGACGAAGAGGCAGCGACGAGTGTCCCTATCTTTTCGGATCCTTACTGTTCCGTTTAATCGGACGGCGCACAAACGACTGTCTACTGGGATCCACTCTAAGAGAGCTAGTTCTGCCCTAGGACTCAATGCTATGCCTACGCCGGCGAGGCCACAGGAAGCAGAATCATGGCTTCCAGATACACGAAGTGTAAATCGAGTCGGTTCTTTATTTTGGCATGGTGAGCTCAGATGAATGACGCTACTCGGATCCTGTATGCGCGTTTCGGAGACGCGGCACACATCGATGGCGCGAGATTCTAAAGTCGTAGCTTAGGAAGCCTATTGTCCTATTCGGCACAGTGTTCGGACGTTAAAAGCTCCAACGTGTAGTTTAGAGCGTGGTTTCAGGAGACCAGGAATAGCGTTCCGCGTACTCGAATCGTTTGCCCTACCGGTGCGAGGTGATAAAGAAACGTGTGGAGGGTTAGTCATGGAAATAAGAGAGGTATTAGGAGGTGTAGGAAGGATTTGAATGTGACTAACTTGGTCTCGTGTGCTGTTACGGGTATGAGGGCTAGTGTCACTTCCCGGCTGCCCACACCGAAGGGTATTTCTTGAGGAACCTGAAAAGGAAATTGGATTAGTGTTGGTCTTGACGACCTGGGAGCGTGACCGCAGAGCCCAAGGGACAACTGCTTGAGGCCGGTCGCGCACGGCATTTTTGTGGAAGGATTTTGACGTGTTAGCTCCGTTCTTCAAAGGGCCTTACCGCCGGAGACGGAAATCCGTGAGGTAAGGTGAGGTGTGACATATTTAGGGTCGACCTTTTCTAACCCCATCCCTGCTTGTGGGAAGGCAGCATCGCTGTCATGCTGGTTGTCTGAGGGAAACACCTTACTGCTGTCACACCCCTCTACAGTCAGCAGTACGACTTCGCCCTCAGACCTTGATTTGCTGCTTTTAGTCTTACCATTCTCCAATCGACCTTCCTGGCATGGTAGAACCTACAGGAACATATGTTCCATCCAATATAGCTCGGTTGGGTCATCACGATAGGCAAGCCCGACCACCGCGTCAAGGTAGCAGCTTCGGTCGGGAACTTAGGGCGAACTGTCATCAGAATTGATTACGACACATAGTGTCCGTCAAGAGTGTCCACCCTCCCCATTCTTGTTTAACTTTGTCGTTGAAGTGCTTTTAGAGATGACACTTTCCTCATCTAAATTTCCAGGGGTTGTCAGTCAGTCAGTAACAACGTAGAACTTAGTACGTACGTACATCAGTTCGAGTTGCCATACCACATTAGCACAGAGATGCAGTGGTCGATTCAAATCCCGTAGTAGTAGAGGTAGCAAGAGTATAAGCAGTAATCGGGAGGATTAGGGTTTGGAGATGTTATTTAACGAGTATAATCCAGTGAAATAAATTTGGAAAGAGGAAAAAAAGGGGCATGAAGAATTCAGATAATTAGAATTTGGGAGAACATAGAGAGTGGATGCACCTGCGCCATTGCAATCGATTTTGAGCCATGTCATTCAGGGTCTATAACCATCGGTTGCTATCATCTCGCGGTCCCCAACCAGGTAGTCTACACCTACCAACATGACTCAGACCACTTGTCAGTGACTTCATGGATTTGTGCCATGTTTTGGTCTGGCCGCCCCTAGCTTTCTTCCAACCTACTCCTATACCACTGAATATAGCACGTCGAGGTAGTCGGTGGTTGGGCATACGTAACACGTGTCCCAGCCATCTCAACTGATGAAGTTTCACTACTTCATCAATTGATTTGCCATCCTTACCTAGTACCCGTTTCCTAACAGCTGCGTTACTTACTCGGTGGTCCCATGATATACGAGCAATACTTCGAAGACACCTATGATCAAATACTAGTAACCTACGAATATCCTCTACTCTTACCGGCCATGTTTCACTACCATAAAGTAGGACGGAACGAACTGCTGCGCAGTAAACACGTCCTTTGGTTGGTAGACGGATATCTCGCCTACGCCATAAATGACGCAAGTTGGCAAAAGCTAGTCGAGCCTTCTGTATCCGTGCTGAGATTTCGTCACACACCAGACCACAAGGGCTGATGAGACTTCCAAGATAAGTGAAGCGGTCGACACACTCAACTACTTCACTCCCTATCACTAGTTCGGGTGTCGATGTAACCCAATCCTGAAGCAACATTTTGCATTTCGAGGGAGAGAATCGCATCCCGACATGCTTGCATTGTTGCTTAGAGTGGTCAGAAGACTGCATTTTGTCAGCGTCTTCACCAAATAAAACTATGTCATCGGCATATTCTAAGTGAACAAGTGAACCTCCCGGTAGAAGTTCAACCCCCGGAAATTTAGATGAGGAGAGTGTTATCTCTAAAATTACGTCGACCACAAAGTTGAACAAGAATGGGGAGAGTGGACAGCCCTGACGAACACTACTTGATGTAATCAATTCTGATGACAGTTTGCCATACGCTCTCACTCTACCAGTTGTTCGAGTAGAGAGCCTTTATAAGGTTAATGTACTTCTTTGGTACTCCTTTCAGTGACAAACACTGCCATAGAACCTCACGATCAACAGAGTCGAATGCCGCCTTAAGGTGGAGAAATACTACCATTGTGGGTCGTCTGAATGTGTGTCTGTGTTCTAGAACCTGACGTAGTGTGAATATCTGATCTATACAACCACGTCCAGGTCGAAAAACGGCCTGGTTTTCTCTAGTTTGCTCTTCACGAGCTTTGATTAGGCGTCGAAGTATTATTGAAGCTAATATTTTAGACACTATATTAGTCAAACTGATTCCTCTGTGATTGTCACAAGAGGACTTTTGTCCTTTCTTATAAACTGGTACAATCAGTGATTGAGACCAGTCAGATGGGATTACGTCCAGTTCCCAAACTCTACCTAAGACCTCGGTTAATCTCATTGCTAATACTGGACCACCATCCTTCCAGGGGTTGAACTTCTACCGAGAGATTCACTTGTTCACTTAGAATATGCCGATGACATAGTTCTATTTGGTGAAGACGCTGACAAAATTCAGTCTTCTGACCGCTATAAGCAGCAACGCAAACATGTTCGGGATGCGATTCCCCCCTGGAAATGCAAAATGTTGCCTCAGGATTGGGTTGCATCGACACCCGAACTAATGATAGGGAGTGAAGTAGTTGAGTGTGTCGACCACTTCACTCATGTTGGGAGTCTCATCAGCCCTTGCGGTCTGGTGTGTGACGAAATCTCAGCACGGATACAGAAGGCTCGACTAGCTTTTGCTAACTTGCGTCATTTGTGGCGTATGCGAGATATCCGTCTACCAACCAAAGGACGAGTTTACTGTGCAGCTGCTCGTTCCGTCCTACTTTATGACAGTGAAACATGGCCGGTAAGGGTAGGGGATATTTTTAGGTTACTAGTATTCGATTATAGGTATTTTCGAGACATCGCTCGTATATCCTGGGACCACGGAGTAAGTAATGCAGTTGTTAGGAAACGGGCACTAGGTTAGGATGGAAAATCAATTGATGACGTAGTGAAACTTCATCAGTTGAGATGGCTGGGACACGTGTTACGTATGCCCAACTACCGACTGCTCCGACGTACGATTTTTTATGGTGTAGGGGTAGATTGTAAGAAAGTTAGGGTTGGCCAGACCAAAACATGGCACAAATCCATGAAGTCACCGACAAGTGAACTGAGTCATGTTGGTAGGTGTAGACCACCTGGTTGGGCTTCGCTAGACGATAGCAACCGATGGTTAGAGACCTTGAATGATATAGCTCAAAATCGTTTGCAACAGCGCAGGTGCATCCACCCTTTGTGTTTTCCCAAATTTTAATCTTCTGAATTTTTCATGTCCCTTATTTTTCCTCCTTCCAAATTTATTTCACTGGATTATACTCCTTGACTAATATCTTCCCATTACTGCTTATACTTTCACTACCTCTAACACTATGGGATTTGGACCGATAATTGTACTTCTGTGATGATGTGGTATGGCAACTCGAACTGATCTATGTACGTACGAAGTTCTACGTCGTTATTGATTACCTGAGTTTCAAGACTAGCTACCATCCCACCGAAACGTATAAATGAGTACTGGTTGCAATTTCATGACGCCATGAAAAAGGCGAGTAAAGTCGCTTGAGCCTTTTCTTATTGTCCCGCTTATAAGCGTAGAGTTTTTTCTGGCTTTTCACAACTCATTGATGCACGTCGGCTTACTTAGGATGACCACGAGTTTGACTATAAACGGGGACTGTTACGTAATGAAATTGTGCTAACTTGCGTTAGGTCCGAGAAACCTGTTGGTCGGAGCGTGTCGATAATTTGGAGGTGACAGCTCAAAAGGACCTATATTCAAGCACCTCAGGCAAAGTGAGGACATACAACCACCTCTCTCCATTGTTCCATTCAATCACTGAGGTTAGGTATGGTTGCCCAATCTTACCGTTTCTCTTCAACTTTGCTATCGATGATGGTGTGTAAGATTATAGCACATTCAAATTTTGTCTGAAATCTTATAGTTTTTTTGGATAGTCCGGACCACATCTGACAAAATACTAATTTAGTTATGTTGTCGATATTTTCTATTATGAATTTCGTTCTTTTCATCACCTTTCAGATAGTTGACGCAGAAGAATCTGAAGTGAATCACCTCAAGAAAGCTTTATTTTTAATAAAGAAGTTTGAAGATGAAGTTACGTTTCATTCAGGCTGTGATACGAATTTAACATCTGAAGCTATTTCTTCTTGGGTATCACTTATACGTGAGGAATGTGCTAACCTAGTAGAAATGCCTGTTCTCATGGCATCGATCGCTCGCCCAATGTTGGATAATTCACTTGCTAGATGGAATCCTCTTAAGGTAGGTGATGTGTTTTTGCTTTCGATATTCTGCCCAGCGTTATCAATGCGAAACTTTTATCAATAAAACCTTATTAGTTCATCTTTACGCATATATGTCTTGCTGAGACATTGCAATAATCAGTTTAAAAATGGTTTGAATGAAATTTTAATGAATAGAATTTATTACATATGGGAAGATTTTCATCTAGTCTATTCCGTATTATTAAATATTTGCTTCCTCAAAATTCTAAATTTTCTCCTTAGTATACACATTACTAGTGTCCAATTGATACTGACTGTCTGTTTATTCACTGGTTAATTGTCAACCTTCTTGACTTTTAACCTAAATACGAATCTAATTTATACCAGATTGATACAATTTCCTGATGAAACTCATTAATCCGACAGTTTTAGTGTTGATGGATAATAATTGTAGCTGAAATTAAGGATTTTGGAGTTTCGTTTTCCTAGATCCAACCGAGGTGTATTAGCTGGAACATTTATTCCTTTAGGTCCTATTGTGCCAACAGGTCGTTTGGGGAACAGTACGACTTAAAACAGCAAATTAAGGTCCGAGGGCGAAATAATGCTGCTGACTGTACAGATGTGACGATAGTAAGCTGTTTCTCTAAGGGAACCAGAAACTGCAGAGATGCTGCCCTTTTAAGGTCATCACTAAACATTACTTCTACTCTCAATATTGACCCTCATCTACCTTTAACTGCTTCAATGTATGTCCCAACGCTAATAATTCTAGTTCACAAAATGCCACCCCAAGTCCCCTGAAACTGCTCTCCGAACTACATGTTTATAGCTTTCACTATCCGGAGCGCATGTCGAATCGAGCAACAGGCATCATTAAATAAGACCCTAGAATCTCTTGATATCGATATATGCTGTCTCCGAGATACACATATAGCGTTCTAACATGGTTTCCTACTTGACGTCACCTAGCCTGAAAGCTAAATAGGGATTTCTTGACTGGATTCCTATCAAAAGTCATTTATGTGCTGCTGGTCTTAATAGTACAGTAAGAATTCGGAGATATAAGGACATACCGTTTCCTCTTTATTGTTTTTGCCTACACCTCCACTAATTGCAGCTCAGATGGAGTGAAAAAAAGTTTTACAGGATAATGTACGACCCTTAGAAATTCAGAAGTAATAGTAGCAGGCAGGTTTAACGTCTAGGTCTGTAGACCAAGTCGAACTGAAAAATATTGAGATTTCAGCCTAAGATGACCGGTTATTACTAGCAATAACAACACTGTCTAGTCTAGTGTGCCTCAACATCAAAACAACGATGTATACAACTAGATCATATCGCTGTCAGCCATTAGAGAAGCTCGATAGAAGGCTACAACTTACTGAAGTACATGCTTGACCAAGTCCTAATGAGAGCAAACATTTTTGTTTTTATGGTACGATGTGGTCTGTTTGGTTTATTATTAACCCAGTATGCTTGAAATACATGATTCATATCACAGAGGCTGAGATTGGTGTTCTAGACTCAACAGGCAGGGCTAGGCAGTAAGAAGGACGGATAAGGACTCTAGACTGCTCGTACGGGTTTACGCGTCATTGATCTGGTCGATAAATCACTGCCATTTAATTGGCGGAATCATTGCGTTATATGTTGGTAGGGGCACAAAGCGACAAGTTATAACATACTGGCGCCGATATATTCACGCTTCATTCTCTCGACCTTGAATTTCTATATCCATTCATACATAACTTTCTACTCTTTCCTTGTAAATCATATTCCCAAGGTTTGTTATTGCTACTACATTATTTCAATCTCTTTTGTTATTTTCATCTCGTGCTAATCAGGTTCGGCAACGCGTATCTATCACAGGCTCTGTGTAGATGATCTCGTTTAATGTTTATCGAGTAAAGTTTAACAACTTATTGCTCATGAAACATGTGAATCACGCATATCTATGACCAATCACTGTTACATATATTTATCTGCGTTTTAAAATATTCAATACAACACAATGTTAGTGTGCCACAAATAAATTTAAGAAATAATCTTATCTATTTTGTGGTTTGATTTTCCTAGTGTTTTTCGTGCGTTGAGTGAGTATAACGGTCGTCTTGTGGGTCCTTATTACTAATTCTTTTAACATACCCAAACTAGGAACCTACATTTTGTCTCGATTTGTTGAGACACTGGAGGGATTTCTTTCAAAATTCTTGCGCATTTGATGTTATACTTGAAACAAGCTGGTTGAGCGCCATACGCCGCACTATTGTTAACGAATGGAATCCTCGAGACTGCGAACCTCTCCTGGAGGTTCTCGAAGCCTGGCAACCTTTGTTACCGGATGATATGTTGCAGCACAAAATACTCGACCAACTGATTCTTCCAAAATTACAGGTTCGTTGAATTTAGATTTCGATAGCTTCCTCTGCCATTGTTCGTTGATATTGCACATTTACTACAATTGTCATAAGGATTTAATACTTGCTGTTTAGTTTTAATTAGTTATTTGACCTTATTTTAAGTGAACTGCTTATCTGTAGCCTAAAATAAAGGATATCCAAAGGCCACTTTCAGTTTTCGGTTATTTGTATATTGCTATATTTTATATTTAATCAGTCGTGAGCATATGCGCAGTGGACCCAAGTTATCACACTATACATTTATGACATATATTGATTCCATAAAGTAAAATTGTATTTAAATACAGAGATTTTAAAGAATCAGTCTGTCTTGGTCTTAATTTTACTTTTTGTCTAAAAACGATCCTTTCCATCTCAGTTTTATTACTTGATATAATTACATAGTTTACCTACTCAACTTCGAAATTCCTGGGTAATTCACATTAGAACGTTATAAAAGGAGTAGAATTTAACAAAACATAGAACTTCAAAACTCAATATTTTGTAAAAAATGTATTCAGTACTCCTGGTGTTTCTGTCAACCAAGATCTGCAGTTGTTGGTTTTTACATTTTTCTCCGGAAAACTACAGATATGCATACAAATTTATTCGGCAGATACCAATCTCACAATCATTTTCTTGACTAATTTAATTCGGCTAACGCTAAACTTCATATATTAGTGCATGTTTGATTCACAGCTAAGGTGAATGTTGAGTGTACTTTTGTATTATATGTGGTGTTTATTAAACCGCTTGACTTGTAAACAGTCTTATTTTTTTAAGACAAAGTAGTAACACAATATCACTTACTAACTTTTCGAATGATTCCGTAATTCCTTCTTACTATGTTATTTCTAAACACGCCCAACTTCTAGGATGCTGTATCCTCATGGAATCCGTTAACTGATACAGTACCTGTTCACACTTGGTTGCATCCCTGGCTACCTTGGTTTGGAGGAGTTGAACGTCTCTCGTGTTTGCATGATATGGTTCTCCAGAAGTTAGGAAGTTGCCTTACCAACTGGCATCCTAGTGATGCATCTGCCCGCTCAGTCCTAATGCCTTGGCGAACCATTTTCCCGGTCACGTCCATGGCAGCTTTCTTAAGTCGCCATGTGGTGCCGAAACTTGCTTTAGCGTTGCAACAGTTCCAAGTTAGTTTTTACTCGTCTATTTACAATAGTTTGGCCTTAACAAGCTTTTTAATTTGATCGCTAAATATCACCTGTTAACTGGTCAATGCATTCACAGAATCTTTTTCTTAGTTGGCTCCTAATAAACCCAGTGCGGTGGTATACTTCTCATTTCATTGTAAGTAATAGGTTGACTACTCTCTTTATAATTCCTTTGTGGTGCAAGTAATATATTATCAGCTTTTAAAATAAGTGTTGTCCTTTAGTTTAATGTCTTAAGTATTTATTATCGTTTTTTATAACAGTATATTTTAGTTTACATAAACCTTCATTAAAATCTAAACGAACGCTTACACTCATAAATTATGATCGCCAAATATGTGATATTTGGAATAGCATTATTTATGAAGATCTGAATAAAAGACAAACTTTGTTTACTGGGAATCTCTTGGTTGTATTCCTAACTGAATTATATCTCTTATTATGTTCTTGTTCACTTTCCTATATGGACTTAATCCCTTATTTATGTGGCGCATGAATTTCTGGTGCTTGAATATACCATATTTTGTGTACCAAATATGGCATGAATTTCTCTGAAGATTACTGATAAAATATTTGTGACTGTTTAACTCCAATTGCTGAGGTTTCTGCATACATAACTCCATTTTACGTATTAATTATCGTTAGGAACTAAACACATGCATCGTTTGATACCCGTTCTTAGTATGTGATTGAAACATACCAAAAGGAAATCCTATGATAATCAGATGTCGTCTACTTGGACACGATAAAAATATCTCGGACGCGCAGTAATATGAATAAATTACCAACACTGCGTGTATACTAAGCCACAAATAGTAGGTATAAGAAAATCGTGCTCAGTCTGCAAGTGTATACAAGCCTAGTACATTTTATGTTATGATAGGATGTAGTCCTACACATAATTTCGAAAATACTGACAATACCTTTTTTACTGACATTTTAATTATTACTGTTGTTGCACCTCTTAACTAAGCCCTAAGGGGTTTCCACATAATATACAATTTAGGGACTAATATGTTAGATATTTATTTATGATCATACCTCTGATGTTGAGTTTCTATGCAATATTTTTTTTCGAAAAAATTCTAATATTTAGCTTAATCCCGCTAAGCAAAACATGGATCCGTGGAATTGGGTGATGCGCTGGGCAGACTTGATTGGTCCGGCTGTACTTGTAAACCTACTTGAACATCATTTCTGGTCACGTTGGCTATCAGTCCTTTCAAGTTGGTTGAATCAGGGGGTAGAAGCTAGGCAACGTGGAGACCACACTGCTGCCGGTCAAGTTTATCAAGAAGTTGGCCGTTGGTATGCTGGTTGGAAAGGTCAGTTACCTCCTGAGTGTATGGAATATGCAAGTGTCAAAGATGCTTTGACAAAAGCTTTGGCAATGATGGAACGTTCAATGAGAGGGTTGCCGCCTCAAGTAAGTTATTATGGGTTTGGATTCCTTGAGATGTCATTTTAAATACTGTTTGTTGAGTTACTTAGGTGGCTTCTTAACCATAAGTTCTTCTTAACTGTATATTCACAAAGTTCAGGTGGATATGCGACGCAAGAATTCCATTTAAAAGTAGGGAAACTCAAAATACCATCACCTAAACTTTAATGGCTTTCAAAAATTTAGATAAATGTTGTATGTCAAGTAAAATAGTTCATTTAATTTAACCATAGATCTCTCACTCGTGACATAATTTTAAATCAATTACAAGATCGCAAAATGTATCAATTACATCCACAATGATTGCGTAACGAGGCTTTCTGCGATGCAAATGTGTAACTTCTAATTATACGTACGCATTACCTAAATGTCAAGAAACACGTAATCTAAGAGTACGTAACTTACAAAGTAATTATCACAAAGCCAAGTACATGTACGAATTTTCCAGTTTTCTCACGCACACCATATTTTACTGTTTGCTAAGTCATTTTGCTAAACAATACTGCTGACATCTCCCAAGAGTACCAGATAATGGTAGTAATCTAGTCTGGAAAAAAAATCATATATTATTTGTAGACTTAAGATAAACTTCTAACTTGTTTTAAGTCTTGTGTACTTTTGGGAATCCACACTTTATTTAGGAACCTCAGGTCTCAAAGCAAGGTCAGTCAGATGTGTCAAGGTATCCTGCTGGCTCATCAGGCGTACTCCCGCCAGCTTTTGGATCATCAACACCTTTGGTTGCTCCTCCTCCGACAACATTACGTAAACAAGTTGAACAAGTAGCAGCGCAGCGCGGCTTCCTATTCCATCCTATTTCAAACAGAATGTTCGAAGGTCAACAAGTATATAGACTGGAATCACTACAAGTGTTTTTCGACCGCAACGTCAGTTATGTGTACAATCCCAGTGATGGTGGCTGGCTTCCTGTTACATTTGCTGAGTTGATGACCCGTGCTCAGTACTGACTTAATCTTTTGACTTTGTAAATTTCTTTTTCAAACATTACTTCTCACAAGGATATTGTATATAGTTCCAGATTTTCTTTGTAATTTCTTCTGAGTGATATAAAAAGATAATTGCGATAAGTTTTCATACTTTTCGGGATTTTGTCTACTGTTGTCGTAAAGTGTACTTCTTTCGACTGCGCACAAATACAGACGAAAGCAGTTCTATCATAAACAAGATTTAAGAATATTATCAAAACGAAATATGTTCACTTATGTCGTTCGGAGATATGTAAATCAAGTCTCAGGACTTGTTCATAGCAGAAAGTCGAAATTACGTGTTTAAACACTATTAAAGAATTACGAGCCATGTAGTTTGCGTATGGGCTTATATATATGCGTTCAGAAGTCCATATTCGATTTATCTACTGTGTAAGGCAATTTCACACCGGCGAAAGTATTTGAGCAGTATACTAACCGTCTCTCACAAACACAGACCGACAAACCACCTAGTTATGTTATACTGAGTTGTAAGCAGCATATCTAGCTGATTAATCGTACCGTAAACTATTAAGCATACCCGCTTTCACGACGCCCCAACATAAGCGAAAATGGGTAGATACGAAATATGCTAGGAGGAAAGCTTTATTTATTAAGAAATATTTCGAATGCCCATGCATTGGTAATAGTAAAAATAATCTATACGCCTAAGTACAATCAAAGTAAGATCTTATACCACAAGTTCCGTAGAGAATGAAGCTAGTAGCAATGGGATGAAAGTAGATTACTATATTTTTGGATACAATAAATTTTTCAAGTGTTCAGAGTGGACAAATAGTAAGGCTTAGTGAGTGTTGTTACTGGTTGTGATATTTGTTTGATGCCATAGTTTGACGCCTCTGACACAAGCCTGTTGTTGACTTCTGTTAACAGTTCAAGAATGTGAAGCCTGTGCCCATGCAGCCTTGTTACCTCGACAAACACCTTTACATACCAACTCCCCTCTATTTCAGACCGCCAAGACACAAATCCAGGTAAGGTAGAATACACAATTACACAGTCACTCATATGTGGCAGCGACAGCCAAGAGCTGGGATCTAATGAAACTTCACAAAAGTTTGATGGTAGAGAGTCTAGAAAATCACACTTTACAAGAGCATTATGATTACGTTCTTCACCTCTACAGGCTTGTATAAGTATGAGTTTAGGTTTTCCAGCTAGAAGAGGACATTTTTTGTTAGTAAAACAACTAACAAGTTCGTCAATGCTTACATGGGTGCCGTCACTTGCTATAATATGATGTTCTAACCCATGTGCTAAAATAATAAGGACGGCTGCATGTACGTTACTATGCTCTGGTTTGCAAGCGAATTCTCGCACTACTTTTTTAAGTTTTTCACCCTCTAGATTTTTAATGACAGCAACACTATACTTAAAGTCTTCAAATAGAATTTGGAGTTTAGATGCATCGTGTGACGAACCATGACGATTAGGTACTCCGGATTCACGACTGTAATCTTCTATATTTATTATGAGAACGTAACCACGCGGGAACGAAGTTACAGTGTAGGGTGTCAACGGATGTGGACTTACTCTATCTGGGATCATAATGGATTCATCTCTTGTATCAGATAAGCGTTCTGATGATATGCCATGACCAGCTAATACTTTAAGTTCCTCTGTTTCGTTCAAACGATCATATATACTCTTTTGGTTGGTTTCTAGAAGAGATTGCTTAAACTTGTCATATGCTGATGGGCCACATCTGACTATAATATCTAAGAATCTACGTATCTTTTCAGCTAATGTTGCTCCAGAGAGTATTGAGTGCCGTTGATTTTCAGTAATAATTAGTGCGGATTCCAGTATATCGAGGATTTCTTCAAGGTTAGAAATATTTTTTACAAGAAAAACACGCATCTTCCTAATGATGTCGCGATGTTCCTTCTCCATATGGAACACAGAAAAATGCGTCCAACAAACGAATTGGTAAGGGGAATGTCGAGAAGACAGAGAGACCAAGTGACAACAATATTTCTGATTACGCGTAGGGAATTAACCTAAGACAGAAAAAGTGAATGTTTTGGAATAAATCAAATACAGTGAACTTTCATGTAAATGTTGACAATTAGAATATCTCCCAATGTCTAACATTCTTATTTTAACACGTGAGTTCGTCAATTCAATTATACTTCGACTGCTAAATTATAATGTAATGATTTTAAAATCAAATAACTGCAATAAAGCACACTGAGGACAAATACGAAAAAGCGAAGAAGTACTACAAGTTCTTAGTAGAGTATGGAGACTGTTATCATTTAATGAGACAGTGAGGACTAACCATGTCTTCACGGACAATGAAACGTTCCTCATATATTGTGATGATTCGAGTTAACAAAATGCAGAAATTATTCGAGAAAGAGGAATCTGACCGTTAAAAATTTTAGAAGCTTTAGCCCCTACTCTGAAAAGGTCCAAGTTAACTGCATGAGCTTTGATTTGTCCTCGAGTACAGCTAGTAATAAAATTTTACAGACTGAGATTAATTTGTCTAGAAAACATAGGCCTACGTCTGGAGATTATTTTAACATTATAAGTAGCTTCATTCAGTGTTATGTGATGTAGAGTAAAAAATTACTGTAGTTTTCCGCCAACAAAAAGATGTTAGCATTTTTAGATACGTTTGAGGTATGATTGGTTCCTTATGGTACTATGAATTGTGAGCGCTGATATAAACCTGTTTTTCCTTGATTTATTTCATGTAGTTATTACATAGAATAATCTCAATATCTTCGAAAACTAAGACCAAGTTACTTATACATGGAGCATTGTTTATTGGAATTCACCACCAAAAAATCATTATAAGCACTTTCTGTCGATATATCGGACGTACGTCACGTCTCACGTGAGATGAACTAATTTACGAAGCACTACGAACCATGATAATTAGTAGAGGTCACTTAAATTGCTGATTTCACTGTTAAAGTTCACCTAGGCTTCCACCATCAATACTGAAATATCTCTATGCTTCTAAGCATAGAAATAGCCACTATAGTGGCTAAAATTTTAGCCATTAATGGACATTTCCCTTGGTTACTTAGGTAAACCATTGAAGATAAATACTTTTCTGACCTATTCATGGTAATCTACGTATTTATAGGAGAATTTCGTGAATACTTACAGTGAACTGACCATAATACAACGTGTGTACATACTTGGACAAACAAGGCAACTAAGTAACCGAACCATTAAGGTTTATAATAACGCCAGAGTGTAAATGTACTATTGTTACGTATTTGAAATCTTTAAATGGTTCAAATGGTTCTAGACGAAATAGAAGAATCTTCTGCTTAACGGGCTTCCGTATTTAGAAGCAGTGTATCACCGATGTCCTAAGGTAGGCACCTAGTTATACTTAACGATAAAAAGCGAAATATTAGTACATTTTAGTGAGATACTGTCCTTTGTCCTTCAGAATATGTCAAGCTTTCTCTTAATAGTTTCCTGAGAGTCATCTGGACTAGCTCGTTCATCAGTGAATTTCAGAACTTGACTACTCTTGGGGAGTAGAAGATGTGTCTAGTTTGTTCTGCAATATTGTTTTCAGTCTCTGGGTGTTACCCCCAAGGTTTATTGGGGCTGAGGTTGAGTAAGTATTAAGAAGGATGCACGAAAGTGCTTAGGATGCTCTAGGTCATTAGAAAGTCACCTCCAAGATGTTTATACCTGATGAGTAAAGGTTAAGTGATTAGAGGCCTCCCTAGTGAGCACTGAATTTGAGTCCCCGAACTGATTTCATGGCCCACCATTGGATACGTTCCAGTGTAACTTTACCCTTTTAAGTTAGAGGAGAAATACTGCACTTCTATACCCTAAATGGAGTCAAGTAAAATTGTTGAAGACTAAGTGGGAAGTTCTTCAGTCAAACTGGTCAAAATCGCGCTTCAGGGTTACGAGCGCAAAGTTTATTCGAAATGTATTTTCGCAGCAGTTAGAGTAAGAGTCCTCAGTAGTAAGGATGGTGGGTCATTAGACCTGTGTTAGTTTTTGCTTTATACCTAAATCGTCATTAAAAATATGGAGTGCTGATATAAGGTCACTTCGAGATCTACGATACAATAAAGGAAGACGTTCAGACGTTTTAAGCGCTCCTCTTGAAGTAGCCTGAAGAGACTCTTCAGCAACTTTGTTTTTACACGATACGTACGCTCGAGATTGTTGATATCCTTTATAAGGCATTGACTGGCTGTTTGAACACAGTACTCTATGTGTGGTCTTACATAGACGGGATATAAAACACGCAACATCACGCCTTACCATATAGATGCTTGGCAACGTGATTAAGACGCTCAAGAATCTTTCGGAGCTGCTGCGTTGGAATCAGCAGTTGTTTTTATGTCGTGGCTTGTTGTAGCCCTTAAGTATTTGTGCTTCTGCATTCATGGGGGAGATGTGCTGTTGGCGGCATATTACTAGATTTAGTTGAGATCATGAGCCGATCAGTATTAGACCGCACTGCAAGGCCGTCTCGTTCAAGTGTGAGACTTCATAGAAGTGCACATCCACGATTCTGAATGCGGAATTCGGATCTGAGACCCTCAGTCTCGCGCGTGAACGCTTGTAGTGACCTACTGTTACCAAGAGAACGCGATTGATTTAATTCAAACAACTGATATTCTAACCAATCGTTCCAGTGATTGTTTTACTGTGCTTGTTTGTTTAACTGTGCCAAAGACAGCCATATTACCCCTCCATTATCTTTCGATTGTGACCTTGCACGAGTTCGGTTACGCTCGGTAACCACGCTTATACTCCTTTGGCACGATCTCGGTATTCTTTCGATACCACGAGATCGCCAACAAATACATCTCGACTACAGCCATCAACTGCCTTCTGACATTTGATTTACGGGGGATTTTGTCACTTAACTGGCACGTAGTCTTTTTGTAGTGGTGTTCATAGTCAAACACTACACGCTTAACCTTTATACCACTGAGCAGGGATCCACGGGTGTTAATGTCTAACTTCAAACAACTCACGATATTGCACGAACATCTTCTATCATCTCCGGTGTGTAAATGCCTCATACGCGACACAGCTGAACTCTATTGGTCACGGCTTCCCACTAGAACTCTGTAAATCGCGTCTCG